ATGGCCAGGGAGAAAGAGAGGTTGAAAAAGGAAGAAGAAGAGAAGCTGAAGGAGGTGGATGAAGAAGAGGAAGGACCGCCACTGCAAAAGAGTGGACAGCACAGCGGCAGCAGCAGTGATGAGATGGAGAAGAAGATTTCGGAGTGGGTCGCCAACTTATCCCTGGGTGAGGAGGAAGAGGTTGCTATGTACATCCCCAAGGATGAGCAATAAGCCGCCATGAAGAAATGGGAAGCAGAAGAAGATGTTCTGACGCGGCGGGCGATGGAGGATGAACAGAGGATGGCGTGGAAGCTCGCAGTGATGAGGGAGAAGAAGAGAAGAGTGGAGGCGGCGAATGCAGCAATGCAAGAACTAGCGGAGGTGAGGACTATCTTAACAACACAATTGACTCCGCAAGTAGATCTCCAACGCAAAGTGGAGATCATCGCCCACAGCGTTGACCGGTTAGCTAAAGTGCAAGAAAAGCACTATGAGTTTAGTCGCAGCCAGGAGATATCCGTGCGTTCGATGCGAACGGAATTACGAGATTTTGCTCGCGAACTAGTAGGCGTTGTGGGATCCGAGGTGAGTCATCGCCTCGAGAAGACTGAGCATTTTTGTGTCGGCGCCATCGAAGGCGTCAAGGTGGCCGCTCCCAAGGAGGAGGAGGCCCGTCCTCGCGGGGAGTCGGTCAAAGTCAAATTCCCTGATTCCAACAGTGGGAAAAGGGAAGAGAACTTTGACAATTGGGAGGCCAATGTTAAGACCTATGCGCATTTGCAACAGGGCTCCCCGGATCAGCAGGTCTTAATGGTGAATCATGCACTTAAAGACGAGGCCGCCAGTTTCGCGAGATCCCTTGTTCGTGTTGCCAACTGTAGTGACGATCCAGGTGCTTACTCCTCATTTACGTCCCTCGTTGAATTCTTGAAGTTGCTGCGCGAGTGATTCGCTGATGTTGCCCGTAGTGTCAAAGCCTCAGATAGGCTTCAGACAATACACTCGCGCCAATGGAAGAGTGCAAGGGTACTCAAGGGCACAATGGATGAGTTGGTGGCTGTACCTGACCACAAGGTCACGAAAACCCAGTAGGTCAACCTTTTCTACCGGGCTATTCCCGAAACGCTGCGTGGTCACTTCTTTGACAAGAGTCAGGACCCTGCTATGACTTATGATATACTTAGCAGGGAAGTGGTCACGTTCGAGGCGAAGTCTGCGTCGATTTCCACCTTCTGGAACAAAGATTTAGACAAGGGCAAAAAGTGGAAGGGCCGCACTATCTCAGGGCAAGTCAAGACCAAGGATAGCCTTGTGCTCACTTTAGATGAGGGTAGTGTGGACGAGATACCCTACGACCAGATTGAGTGGGGGTTCGAGGAGGAGGACAGTAGTGTGGGCCAGGGGAGGACTTACGCTGCTGTCGCGGCTGGAGGGAGGCCGCAAGGAGGACAAGGCCAAGGCCAAGGGGGCCGGGCCTCAGGGAGTCGGTTCCTGGGCGATCAGGGGGTTGGCGGCAGAGGAGGGAACCGCCAAGCGGGAGGTAGAGGTCAAGGTCCCCCGCAAAACCGTCCTAGGAACAGGTCTCCCTATAGAGTAGGAGGATGGCACCCAGGGCTACCTCAGGGTAGGCCGTGGGAATCTTTGGGTCTGGACCAGGCTTTATGGCAACAATGATTGAACCAGGGCCAGTGCATTTTCTGCGGTGACCCGGGGCATATCATCAAATATTGTCCTAAGTATCGAGAGACCCGAACGGCTGCTCAAGAGCCAAAAGGCAGCCGCCGGTAGGGGTAGCAACTGCCCCTACCACTAGGCCATGTGGGGAAAATAGCGCTAGCCGGCAGGAGACTCCCACACCACATGTGCCTATGACAGAGGTTGCAGGCCGGTGTCTAGATAGCTGTCCCGAGACTGCTTGTGTTAGAGTTTCGCTAGACACCTCCCTCACAGGCGTGGCGGAAGAGTTGAAGGAGAGGAGGTCCGCCTGGGCTAAGATGAAGAAGGAGAATAAAGGGCAGATGATTTTATTAGATGCAGAGATTCTTAGAAGTAGAGTAGGGGCCCTAGTAGACTCAGGGGCCACCCACAACTATATTAGTAAGCAAGCGTTGCAGAAGTTGAGGCTGGGACTTAAGGTCCAGAAACTGACAGACCCCATAGTTAGTATCCTCGCGGACAATCGTACCATGGTTGTAGAGGATTACGTAGAGGGAGTTCAGGCGTATTTTCGCCTAGAGAAAGATGGGAAGGTGGAGAAGGTCCTCCACTCCCTGACTCTCCTCGTAGAGGACAGCCTCCCGTTTGATATAGTACTGGGAATGGATTGGGGAGAGGCAGCCGGCAACGCTCCATCTGAAGGAGCACGAGTGTAGACTCCCTAGTTCTGCAGGCGAGGCTTAGACTGCCCGCCTGTTTTATGTGTCAGGAGGTGACAATTCCTTGGCACATTGCTGCCTTAGTGCCCCTGCGTTCGCCAGATTGGTGAAGAAGGAGAAATTAGAGGAACAGGTCTTTGTTGCCTATGTTAGGCACGCCACTAAGCCTACGGAAGAGAAGCCGATGGACCCTGCGATTGCCAAGCTGCTGGAGGAGTTTAAGGATTTGACTGAGCCGCCGACAGGCACGGTGCCGCGGCCCATCCAGCACCGTATCGAGATAGAGCCTGGCAGTAGAACTCCTAAGGGTGTTGTGTATAGGATGTTCCCGCGAGAGTTAGAGGAGCTTCGCAGGCAATTAGACAAACTCCTCAAGAAGGGTTGGATTAGGCCTAGTTCGTCTCCTTTCGGAGCGCCTGTTCTCTTTGTTCCTAAGAAAGAGGGAGAGTTGAGAATGTGCATAGACTATAGGGGTCTGAATGCTATTACAGTAAAGAATGTTGAGCCACTGCCTAGGATCGACGATCTCTTAGATCGAGTGCAGGGGGCTAAGTATTTCTCTAAGATAGACTTAAAGTCCGGATATCATCAGATAGAGGTACACCCTGATGATCAGTATAAGACAGCCTTCCGGACTAGGTACGGGCATTATGAGTTTATAGTAATGCCCTTTGGACTAACCAATGCGCCAACAACTTTTCAGCGGTGTATGAATGATTTGTTTAGGCCGTGGTTAGATAGATTCGCTGTAGTTTATCTAGATGACATCCTAGTGTTTAGCCCGACCCTTGAAGAGCATCGGGGTCATCTTAGGCAAGTCTTGGAGAAGCTGAGAGAAGCTAACTTCAAGATCAATGCAAAGAAGTGCGATTGGGCGAAGACCCAAGTTTTGAATCTAGGCCACATCTTAGACGGAGACGGCGTTAAGCCAGAAGATAGCAAGATCGCAGCGATTAGAGATTGGCCCACGCCACGTACGCTGACAGAGTTGCGCTCGTTCCTGGGCTTAGCGAATTACTACAGGAAGTTCGTAAGGAACTTCTCCACCATCGTTGCGCCCCTTCGCAGATTGCTGAGAAAAGAGACAATCTGGAAGTGGGACAAGGACTGCACGTCCGCCATGAAGAAGCTAAAGCAGGCGTTGATAGAGTATCCGGTCCTTAAGGTCGTCAATCTGTCCTTGCCTTTTGTTGTTACTATGGATGCTAGCCAGTACGACATAGGCGCAGTGTTACAGCAAGACGATGGCAATGGCTATAGACCCGTAGAGTTCATGTATGCTAGGATGCCTTCTGAGAAGGTTGCGACATCTACCTATGAGAGGGAACTCTACGCTCTCAGGCAAGCATTAGACCACTAGAAGCACTACTTGCTTGGGAGGCACTTCAAAGTCTATTCGGACCATGAAACGTTACGGTGGTTAAAGACCCAGGCCAAGATGACACCTAAGCTTACTAGGTGGGCCGCAAAGATAGATCAGTACGACTTCGAGCTCAAGCCTGTCAAAGGGAAGTACAACGTAGTCGCGGATGCTCTGAGTAGGAGAGCAGATTACTTTGGGGCAATAGCACATTACCTCGATATAGGAAAGGATCTGCGCAGAAGGTTAGAGAAGCCTATGCGCAGGACCCTATCTATAGTAAGCTCCTCATGCGAGTCAAGGAGGCCCCAGAGACCGAGCCGAATTACCGCACTACTGGAGGGTTACTCTTCGAGAAGACTGATGTCTTTGACCCGTTCCCCAATGGCGAAGAGATCCGTAGTCTGATTATGGGGGAATGTCACGACACAGAGGGTCATTTCGGTTGGCAAAAGACTTTGGCCAATCTGATGCGCGCATATACCTGGCCATTGATGAAGAATGATTATGTAGAGTATGTTCGCAGTTGCAAAGTCTGCCGGCGTAATAAGAGTTCTACGCGCGCCCCGCTAGGTCTTCTCTGACCCTTGCACATTCCGGATCAGCCGGGAGACTCAGTGTCAATAGATTTCATGGACACTCAAGTCAAGAGCAGGCATGGCAAGAGCCAAGTCATGGTCATAGTTGACCGCTTTAGCAAGTACGCAGTTTTTGTTCCTTTGCCTTCTGAGGCGCGTACTGATTTAGTCATACAGAGGTTTTTTGACTGTTGGGTTAGTGAGAACGGAATCCCGCTATCTATAGTTAGCGATAGAGATAGTCGCTTTACTAGCCAGAACTGGCCAAAACTCATGGAAGTATACGGATCTAAGTTGTTGATGTCGTCCGGCCGCCATCCAGAGACTAACGGTCAGACAGAGCAAATGAACAAGATCCTACAACAAGTTTTGCGCATGTATATTAGGCCAGATCAGATTAACTAGGATGAGATGTTGCCTAAAGTAGCTAGTGCGTACAATAACAGCATGCATCTAGCTACCTGCCGCACTCCCAACGAACTGCACAAGTCCTTTAGACCGCGCAGACCGTTTGAGGGACTCAACCGGGATCAGATTCAAAGATTGTCGCCCGGGACCCGGGAGTTCGCTGTACAGCACGAAAAAGAACTAGCTATTGTTGTAGAAAACCTCAGGAAAGCGCAGCATAGGATGATAGAACAAGCAAACAAACATCGTCGCCCTTCACAGTTTCAAGTAGGCGACTTAGTCTGGGTTAGTTCGAAAGAGTTTGCATCTGAGGAGAACATCTCGCAGAAGTTACTGCCCACATATAGAGGACCGTGGACTCTTCTTGAAGTCAAGGGCGGTGAAGATGGACCGTCCTATACAATAGAACTACCAACACACCTCCACACGTATCCAGTTTTCCACGGATCGAAGTTGCTACCTTGTCAAACAAGTGATCAGTTTCCATCCCGTAGATCAATGATCCCACCTGATATGGATGGAAGGTGCCTTGGACTGAAATTTTGTCGGAGGACCTCGAATTTAGGCCGGCGGGAGTGAAACGGTATTCACCAGTTCGCAGTAGCAAATGCAGATCCCAGGGATCGATCCCTAGTTCCCCATCTTACCGGTGTACAGTATTGATGACAACCCGTAGATTTGAACCTGCGACCTATCGAAACGCCAGTGGTAGGTAGATTGTCGTAGGTCACAACTTAGAAGGGAATCGAACTGTAGACCTGTAGGGTAGGAGTCTAGACAGTTCCGAAGTCGTAGCTTAGGATGTCTGAAGGGTCAAGGTCGTAGCTGCTACTTATGTGAAAGGGCAAAGTCGTAGCTGGTTTTCGAGACTTCGCGCGTTGCTGGTTTTTTTTGTTTTTTTAATAAGCTAACTCTTTAAGCCCAACCAATTCAATTACCTGTCGAATCTGGACAGGACAACCTTTCAGGCCTTTTTTATTGTCATTATAGTATTACGGGGAAACCCGTAGCAGCCACATCCGTGCTCAAGCCTCCAAGGAGGGAACATGCGGGAGCTGCACCCCCCAGCACGTGCGATACCTGCTACAGCAGGTGGGCGATACCGGCCAGGGGTCAGCCGGTAGCATCAGGACCGAGCTTCTTCTATGGGCCAGTCACGGTGCCTCCCCTCCGGTCCCCTCCCCCTATGAACACCAGCAGTCTGCTCAATGCCACTTGGGGGGACCAACTACATATCTCTAGGTGGCGGGTGCCAAGCTTGCCCAGGAAGGTACATGAGGCGGTCTATGGGGATTGAACCCAAGACCTCCTGAATGCCACTTGCGTGCCTTACCAACTGAGCTAGGCCGCTGGATGCGTTGCTGTTTACACCTTGTCGTACTACCAAAAAGAAAATAAAAAAATAAAGGGAAAAACTTGCGAAATACCCCCATAAGTTGAGATATGTGCCAAAACACCCCTGAAAGATGTGCGTAGAGCGGAATGCCCCTCTGACAGAAAGAAAAATTTGTGAAATACCCCTCGTGTCAGTTGGACCCCTCATCTTTGTTTTATACCCCTACCGGGTACCATCCAACTTTGGAAAATACCCAGAACTTGGAAACTTTCCTAAGGCCCAGTTGCAAAAGGCCATGCCCAAAAGGCGAGGTCCAGATTGCAAATTTGCACACCTGCCTAACAGGGGCATAACACAAAGATTTCGGCCGAAAAAGGCATTCCCCTCTACCCACATCTTTCAGGGGCGTTTTGTCATATATCTCAACTTACGGGGGTATTTCATAAATTATATCCCAAAAATAAATAAATAAAATTGCAAGCAGTTACTAACTTACTACCTTTCCGTCAGACATGGCCGTTTTATTGCAGTCGGGACGTAGGGCCTGGCAACGTGAGGATAACACTGCACATGCATTTGGACTCTTCCTCGGCACAGTTCATTCATATTTTTTCACTCTACCTCACAGTTCATTCTTTTTTTTTTTTTTTTTTTTTTTTTTTTTTTTTTTAACATTTGGCTCTGTTCTATTTGTGGGGAGCAACACCTGCTGGGAACCGGGCCCAGCGTCCCTTATCAAATAATCTCAGAAGATCCTCGGGGCCGGAGTCCCCACAGTCTACCCGGTACAACTGGAAGGAGGAGAAAAACCGACTAGGAGTTCCCTACTGTTCCAGCAAGAAGGAAGGTAGTTAAGGTAGCATTACCAGAGGCGGAGGGAATACCTGGCCCTCTCAGTGAAGAACTGCCTGATAGGAATCTAGTAAGCTAGGCCTGGTAGGGTAATCCCACAAAAGCTTTGAATAGAAGAGGCTATTCCTCTCTGTGAAACCGGCCCACCGAAATGGGGTAGACCGTTTCTTTCGAAACTGTTCCCTGGCTGCCTCGATAGATGTAGCTTGGCGTTTAAATTTAATCCATTCTGACATAATGTCTAATCTGATCGAATGCTTAAACTGCGACAGTAAAGAATTAACAGAGGAATTGGTCTTAAGGAAACGCCTATCCCTTCTGGCGAGCCAGATACACCAAAATGCTCTTAATCTGAATGACCGAGCCACAGTACCAATCTGCTGCTTGCTGGTGAGAGGGCTTAGTCTTCCTGTAATAACGAAGTCTTGGTTCCAAAAGCTTATAGAGCCATATGCCTCTGCCCACATCAGATTCAGGCTGTCCCAGAAGCCTCTAGCAATCACGCATTCCCACCACAGGTGTAGCCAGTCTTCTAGGCAGGGATGTGGGCATGCGTCGCATAGCGTGGAGATGTCCATTCCTTTCTCCGAGCACCACAGTGAGGTCGGGACACATGAGTGAAGATGCATCCATTGAAGACCCCCTACCTTGGTCTCGAGAGAAGAAACAATAATGTGGATAAAGAACAGTAAACATTTGGAGGACAGCGGTTGGAGGTTAAGGGCCGAGAGTCTGCGCTGCCAGTTTAGAGTGAGGCCTGCTTGTAAAGAGTGGGCTTCAGAGAAGAGGGAATAACCAATCTGGGCAGAGTAATCCCGGATGGGCACATTGCCCAGGGAGTCTTTGGCCTGTGGGACCTTCCACCCGTATCGACAAACATCATTCTTCCACTCCTTAATAGGAGTGGCTGCCATGGTGACTCGGAAGACCGAATGTCCCTGTGTATCCTTGGACTGGTGGACTCTTACCTCCTCCATGCCCTGCAGAGTAATTAGCTGGGTTTCTCGAGTCTGACTTAGTCTGTCACCGACCAGCGACCATTCTGAGGCTTCTATTATGCCGTCATTGTTGACTTTATCAATTCTGTGGAATTTATCCATGTGTAAAGAGTCTTTAAACCATTGGTCTTCCTTGAATGCATTGCCTGTCTGACGCAGGATATCTGTCCATGCATGGGGGATGGCTTCCGTTAACTCTCTTAAATGGTCTGTTTGGTGCTGTAGTCCGGTGAGTTGAGGGTGAAGGTCACTTGCAGTCTTCCAGTTCCTGGAGTCTTCATCCCAGATGTGGCGTATCAACCATATGCCTCTCTGCATCCATTTGAGCCCAAAGTTTCCTGCTGCTTTGGCGACCGAGAAGGGGAGCCCTACCTTGTTATGGATTGAGGGATTCTCGAACAGACATGTGTTCAGAATCTCATCTCGAGTGGAGGGGTCAGTGAGTAGTTGGGGGATCATTTTAGACCAGGCTTTGAGGATGTTATTCCAGGTAGAATTAGAATGTCTGGTGGTGAAAGGGCGCATCAGCGGGGCGCTCCAGACCGCTTTTGGGTCTGAGAGCTTCCATCCCTTAGCTAGGGAGTGTTGGGCAAGTATGATCCACGGTTGGTCTTCTGTAGAGGTCATGGCACGGACCGGCCATTTGGCTAATAGAGCCCGGTTCTGATTTTCAGGGTCCAGGATGCCTAGACCTCCTGAAGCTCTCTTTTCTGTGATCTTGCTCCAACTGACTTTACTGAGGGCAGATTCTGCTTCTGAGTTGCCTTTCCACAGCAGGCGTGAGAGAAGGCGTCTGATATTGGAGAAAGAGTTGAGGGAGGGGGACCTGATGGAAAAATATACCAGATTTTGGATGTTATGAATGTGTTAATAACAGTCG